CCTGAAAAACAGAAGCCTGGATTTGTTTGGTGTATAAAGTGCCAAACTCTCTCAGAACACTAAGCAGAGATGGAAGGCAATGTGGATAGCCTGTGGCTATTATTTTTTTAGTAGTTACATTAGCTTTAAAATCACTTACTATTTAGGGAGTTTGGTTCAGGGGATTGACTAGAAATCTTAAGAGGCTGAACTTGGGTTTTAATCTTTGTTCACAATAGCTATGGGCAACTTGCTTCTATCACAGAGGTAACTGAAGACTTAAATGTTGTTAAAGTTCTCTGAGCCAATTGAATGAAATGAAGTGTTATAAAGATATAGGCCAGTAGTATTACTGATGGAGCACTGTGCCTTTTCAGGGTAGCCATTATTACTGAACAGCAGATGAAGTAATATAAACCAACACCATGAACTTCAATCTGTACAGTTATCCCTAAATATGAGAGTGCACAAAGCTTGGCTGAGGCTGAAACATCTTGAAAAGTGTTTCCCAAGGTACCTGAATCCTAGCTTCCCTCTTTATTTTTCCAGTGAGAAATCATATCAGCTATTCAAGAGGAATGCTTAGGTGACTTCTAAACTGGGTTCAAGGCTCCAAAGGCTGGTAGGAGTGGGAGTTGTTTAGAAACCCCTAAACAAAAGCAGAGATTAAAGCAGATATTATGCAGCAGGGTCAGGGTCAGTGTGTCTAGTTTACTCTTCACAATTGGGTCCTGTTGAATTTTTTTTTAATTTTAATTTTTTTTGCATTGATGCCCTCTTAATTATCATTATCCCAATAAAACCAGTTTTCACAATGACATTCCATATCCCATTTTCATCACTCCATGAAATGTGCTATTGAAAGGGCCAGGTGTCTTTCACAAAACACAACAGGACATTGAGAGCGATGTAGATTTGCTCTCAGCCCAATCTGGGGCCTTATTTCTTGCTTTATGATTTTTTTCTAGAACTGCAGGCTATCCCTCAACGGCTGACGGTGGCTCACTTCACGCATACCACTCAAGACTTCTGTACAGTATAAAATAGAAGATCAAAAGGAGGTGGGAAAAAAAGGAGTATGAGAGTGAAATGAAAATAGAAGAGACATAGTTGGAAGGAATCAAAGGTCTGTAAAAGAGGAGCTCAGGTTTCATGTTGGTGATGATTAGTCTTGCAAAACCTTCTGAGACCTGTGGAAACATTTGCTTGTCTAAAATTCAGCTTTTTCTTTCTTTTCTTTCTTTCTTTTTAAAAAGAGACTTTTCATAATAAGCAACTCTTCTCTCATTTGAAGGTTGGAATCTTTTCTGAAAAAGTTTGGTAAGGCCAGGCATTTGAACACGGTCAACTGCGGTGAACCAGGCACATGGAGGACAGCTGACTCCACAGAACCAGGGTCTTGGGTAAGTGCCCAGCTCTGAAGCCACCTAAAGTGACTGAAAATGCTGCTTTTTTAGTAAGCATGGAACACTCATTTTAAATTAATAATATTTTCTTAAATCACACAAGGCAACCTTTGGTAAAACTCTTCTAAGTGGTTGTGGTTCCAGTAATAGGTGAAGATTTGGGATGGGAAGCCTCCTAAAAATAGCAAAAGGAAATGAAAATATCTCCCTGAATTTTGGATCAGAAAGGTAGAAACCGAATTTTACTTTGTGAACTGCAATTCATCCTGAATATCTTAATGAGATTCAGAGAAGTTGATTCTGCAGCTGCTTTAATTTTGAGGTTAGTTGAAAATTATACAGCATTTGCCATACTGTTGTATTTCCAAAATAAATCCTACTTACTCTCCACTGCCAGTCAACTACAGCCCAGAGATGTTCCATTAATGGA